GTTTAGTGCGATTTCATTTCAGACAAGGTTTTCAAATCTCTTCTTCAAGCTTCGTCTAACCAGTTCAGAGCTGCTCTCCTATTTATAACTCTTGTTTCTTTCTTAATGTCAAATCTCTTCCAGTCCCAGTCGGAGAACAACTCCATGTCCAAACACAAGTCCTCTTCATCGTTCACACCCTTCATTGACCCTCGTCTTCTTCAGATATCTCCATCCAGCGGCAGCTCCCTTAACAACATGGGTAAGGCGGCCATGTTGTGAAATATTGAAACAGACTGTGTATAATTATTTGGATTTGACTCTATTATTCTAAATATTGGATGAATATTTGGAAAATGTCCTCCATATTGTTATGTACAGTTCAAGACATCTAGAAGTCTTAAAATGGCAAGAAATGTTTGATAAAATATTTTAATGTCAGATTAAGCATCTCCAAAGTCTGGGTTTTTAAAAAAAATAAAAATTTAAGCCTTTTGCACATATTAGCCCCTAATCACAGGAAGTTTGTTTAGATTGAGAGTGTTGTATATTTAAAAACAAAAGTCCAACCAGAACTGCTTCTGTCTGCCTCCTCCAGCTGGATTTGGTCAAGAAGGTCGGCTCGCTGACCCGCTGAGGTCCGACCCGTCCCGTAAAGGATCGGTGGTCAACGTCAACCCTGTCAACACGCGCCCACCAAGCGACACTCCAGAGATCCGCAAGTACAAGAAGAGGTTCAACTCTGAGATCCTGTGTGCAGCACTCTGGGGTAGGCGTTAAAATTCAATAAAAAATCCCGAAATGGGAGGCGGTTGACTTTGACCTGGACAGGTTGGTTGATTTGTTGTCTGTTTCAGGAGTGAACCTGCTGGTCGGGACAGAAAGTGGGCTGATGCTACTGGACCGAAGTGGTCAGGGGAAAGTCTACCCACTGATTAACCGGCGTCGCATCCAACAGATGGACGTCTTGGAGGGACTCAACGTTCTGGTCACCATATCAGGTGAGGACTGCACAAATCTCTGATGGATTTCCAAATCCAGAATCGGTGTGCTTTCTTTGCGAACCCGGTTCTATGGTTCTGCTTTGGGTCGTTGCAGGTAAAAAGAACAAGCTGCGAGTGTACTACCTGTCGTGGCTCAGGAACAAGATTTTGCACAATGACCCTGAAGTGGAGAAGAAACAGGGCTGGGTGAATGTGGGCGACCTTGAGGGCTGCGTCCACTACAAAGTCGGTATGTTTTGTCATTTGTTTAAATTTGATTAATAAATGATATTGATTGAAATCTTAAGATCTTAAAGGCTATCTTAAAAATTTCTGAACCAGAAATTCTTTGAAAAGTTTGATATTAGACAATTACCTGAAATTTGTTCTTTTTTTTCTGAACATTGTAGTGAAATATGAGAGGATTAAGTTCTTGGTGTTGGCCTTGAAGAACTCTGTGGAAGTGTACGCCTGGGCTCCCAAACCCTACCATAAATTCATGGCATTCAAAGTAAGGAGGATGACGGATTCAATTTTCTAGCCGAAACTTTCACATTTTGTCACATCACAACCTGATTCTGAAAACATCCATTTCCTCTCTGAATCTAACCCACGCCTGGCTGGTCTTTAGTCTTTCGGCGACCTCGTGCACAAGCCTCTGCTGGTCGACTTGACTGTGGAGGAGGGCCAGAGGTTAAAGGTCATCTACGGCTCCTGCTCAGGCTTCCACGCCGTCGATGTGGATTCCGGCGCCGTCTACGACATCTACCTGCCCACGCATGTAAGCGTTCAGGCCCAGACCGTGAAGCCACGGCGTCGTTTTCTGCTCTTTACCGCCTCATTTCCTGTTTCTCCAGATCCAGACCAACATTCAGTGCCACGCCATCATCATCCTCCCCAACACGGATGGCATCGAGCTGCTGGTGTGCTACGAGGACGAGGGCGTCTATGTCAACACCTACGGACGCATCACCAAGGACGTGGTGCTGCAGTGGGGAGAAATGCCAACATCAGTGGGTGAGGAGGCGTTCCCAAACAGAAACTAACAAATTTATCATCAGCTCATGAAGGTGACATGCTCCTTGTTCTGCTGCAGCCTACATTAGGTCAAACCAGATAATGGGCTGGGGGAGAAGGCTATCGAGATCCGCTCGGTGGAGACGGGACACCTGGATGGCGTCTTTATGCACAAAAGAGCCCAGAGACTTAAATTTCTTTGCGAGAGGAACGACAAGGTCAGAATAAAATAGGAGCACTTCTTTCGTGATGGTTTTACTTTTTGGCATCTATATCTTTTGTTCATTTATTTTTTGTTGTTGTTTCTTTAGGTCTTTTTCGCCTCCGTGCGTCAAGGCGGCGCCAGCCAGGTGTATTTTATGACCCTGGGACGCTCCTCCCTCATGAGCTGGTAGCCAACGAGACGACCTCGCCCACGCAGCGACGAGCCGACGACAAACCGTCCTGAGCCTGACCCAGAGGAGCGCCCTCTCACCCGTCAGGCAAAACCAACCGCAGTTTGGACTGCAGGAACGAATGGAGGCGTTAGGTTGTCACCTTTAGGTCTGTAGTCGCCTCGCTGCCCTGCGCTTTCCTCCATCTCCACTGAGGGAACAATGGTAATCGATTTCTTTTGTGTCACGGTAAAACTTGTATGTAATTAACAAATTGTCCAGAGGGGTCGACAAAAGGCAGCTTTGGCTGTTTGGAAAAACAAAACTTGATGTGCCAGAACTTGTGTAGCTGTTGACCTCCCTGTCAAGCATGTTTCTGAACAACTCCAGTCCTCCCCTCTGACCGGTGCTTCACTTTGTTCGCCTTAAAGTGAAAACTCCTAATAGGGACCTTTGATTTATCTGTTAAACACAGGGTACAGGATCAGCAGATTGTACATACCAACTACAGACTCGTGCAGGTTTTCCAGTCACTTTTACCACTTTGCCTAATTGTGCTGTAAGTTATGTTTGACAGTATCCCTGTTGGTGACGTCATGACGCAAAATTACACCCAGTTTTTATTGTTTTTTTTTAAATACACTGTATATTTTCTATGTGACTTGCTGCATATAAATAAACGGCAACAAAGCAGGACACATCAGATGAGCTGTAAAGGAAAAATCCACACTATTTATCCTCAATCTGTAATATTTTTAGGGCTCTAACTTTCTCACGAAGTGTTTGGTTTGACTCTGCTGTCGTCAGGTTTTGGTTTGTTTTCTACTGGAAATATAAAAACACAAAGTAAACACATCCAGAAATGTGACATTGATCCTATTTTTTATTTCTGTTTATATTAGTTCCAAGTAGGGCTAGGGTTAAACTGTGAATTAGCATGCAGGATTAGCAGGAGGACGGGCTGGAAAAAGGGAATAAGAATCGGCTCGTCGTCTCTCTGCACAATCGGGACATTTACCCGTTCTGGCTTCGTCTGTAGCTTTACGGTTGCCTTGGAAGGGTTCCCGTCGATTTTTAAATTGGAGCTAAACCCTGGAGACATTTGGATGTTGTGTACTGCTGGATCTCGTAAAACCAGCCACGTCACCTAATCTTGGACCTCTTTTTAATGACGCTTGGTTGTTTACATAATCATGTCCAGATCAAAAGGCATCCAAACCAAACAAACGTTTTACTTTTCATATCTGAAGCCCATTTTTCATTTCACCTCGCTGCCCTTTCCACAGTTAAAATGCGTCTGTGCTTTCATTCAGACAACACGACTTCCTAGCAGTCTTTGCTGTCAGACGGTGCCTTCAGGTGCGTCTGAGGGTGATGGGATCAATATTAGGTGCTTTTTTTTTCTTCTTTTTTTTGTAGGCTTGGGTTGATAAAATCACTTGTTCTTACAGCAGTGTTACAGAACCACTTCAGATCTTTTTTTTTACTTAGTCTTTGTTTCTGACATCTCTGCAGTGGTTTTTAAATTGTAATGCACACCTTACGTTCAAAATGTTTACAGAAGAAGAAGTTTTTCCTTTTGTTTTGCTTTTTTTTTTTTTTTGCTTTTAAACCAGTGTGTGTCAGTATGAATATTTATGGTTTATTTTTAGGCTAGACACCCCACCCCATGTTTTGTATTTTGTAACCCTCTTTGTATTATCATTTAGACGTTTCTGTGCAGGGATAATCAACTTCTGCTCAATAAGTCCACAGTGTCATTTCACTTGATTCCTCTGCATCCTTCGCAGTGCACAGTAGGCTGCTGGCTGTGTGGCAGAAGATGTTTTCCACTACCCAGGTGACACGTTTTCCCTTAAACGTCACTCAGCCGTGCCTCTAATTTATGTCCTCTCTGTGTGTGCTATGGGGATTACTGTGTTTTACTGAAAGTCTTTTTTTTTTCCTCCATTGAATAAAATCAGAAGTGATTTACAGAGTTGTCATTGTTTTGTAAAAAATCTGTAAATGTCTAGGTTGGTGCAAAAATTGCTAATTTGTAGAGAATTTTTTTTATGTAGTTTTTATTGCAATTAACTTTAGGAAGATATAGGAGCTTGTTTTAAATAAGTACTTCTTGAATATTGATCAAAAGTACTTGTAGATTACTTCAGTTACAAGAAAAATCTCTTGATTAAAAATTAAATAATCTGGTGGAACTATTACTCTTTTAAATCACTATTAAGGGTTTGCTGACTTAAAATCGGTTTCTATATTGTGCTGAAGATAAAATTCCTTTCTGTGAAGGATGAATAACTAATAAAGTCTTGAGTGGACCTGTTTAATCTGCCTGATGAGTGGCTTTAGGGCTGGTACGTTATGAAACTATTTTTAGATTGAAGGCTCGCCATAATAAAAATATCACTTGTAGTTTTTCAGTGTAGCCACTAGAGGAGGCTATTGCACCTCTCAAGAAGGCCTTTTTACACTAGCTGTCATAGCTTCCCGTTTAGTTTTTTATCTGAAAATTGAGACCTAAGTGTTTAATCTTAGTAAACGTATTTCAGATATTTAAACTGATGTATGATAAAGAAACAATCAAAAAAAGCTTAATGTCAGCTTTTGCCTCGTTTTTGTAACAAAACGAAGCGGTTGGATTTTATTGTGAAACTCCAAACCGGAAATTACTTTGTCGCTGCGTCAGCTCGACGGAGGTTGGTTGGGTCACGCTGCAGCCCCGGCCGGATGTTTTGTTGCGTCCGTCTCCGGCCCAGGATGGAAGGCGTTGCTCGTTTTCGCCCCGAGCTGGTGTAGCGGCGTCCCTGACGGGTAAGTGGCCGAGTCTGGCGGCGAGCTGAGCGGACTCACGAGCCGGAGGAGCTGCGTGTTGGTGCGGGTGGAGGCCGGGAGGGAGGTCGTGACGGCGTTGGGTTTCTGCGGTGGACGCGCACGCCTCTCCTCCCCTACGTCTTAAGCATGGATAGTGGAGCAGATTGTTGAGGAGGAGGACAGGGTGTTGTCATTCCCTTTAAAAGAAATGCACGTATTTTAATTACACCTTAGTGTGGTGATTATGCTCTCAGTAAGCTACCTTCTGTCTTGTTTGCTCGTTTTGTCCATGCGGTTTCTGCAGAAGTGGATATTTAAGCTGCACATCTGTGACTGTTTACGTCAACAATGCATGTGGAAACTTCAGCTCTGCTCCGTTTTCATAAGGAAAAGTGAAGAAGTTGGGGTAAATTTCCTGGTCCAACAGTTTCTGCATATGACCCTCAGAGCAGAACATCCAATCGATAATCGATAATCTGTGGTTGCATCATTTCACTCATCAATCCTTCCTTAAATTCTCTCTGTTGAAATCAAAAGCTTAGATCTAGAAATTTGATGCAAAGGGGATATAAAGTTAGGCTGAAGTAATTATTCGTGATGAATTGATTATTGAAACAATCAACTAATTTAGTCATTGATTAATTATGGACTATACAGATTCAACAGAAGGGGTTTTGGTGAAAAATACAACTTATTCAGAGCAGTCCTTAAGCCCAAACTGAACAAAAGGTATATGCATGTTGCATTTAAGATAAATGCAACATTTATCTGTTGCATTTATTTACAGACAAAACCATTGTCAACATTGTCAGGACAATGGGACAATATTGCCCTAAATATTGTCAGTTTTGGCCTCAGTTGGTTCAAATTCACAAAAAGGAATGCTGCCATTATATCTTGGACAATAATATGCTTGTTTTCTATTTCTAATACTGTATGAAAAAAATGTGGTTACATAAAAAATCTGCAGAATGTGTCAATGTTTTGTCCAGCTTATTGTCAGAATAATCAATAGAATAATCAATTACTAAATTAAACATTATTTCAGTGTGTTGGCTTCTATTCGAACTGCGTTTTCTTGCTTTTGCTCCATGATGCTGCCATGTTTACGATGAGCCAGAGGCTCGCTGGGCGTCATGGAGACAAAGGAGGAAAGATTTGCGTTTCCCAGTCATCATCTGGCTGAAGTGTGCCACGACAATGCAGAAGAGGGACATAAACTTCTTGAACTCCCCAACTTCGACTTTCTCTCTTGCTTAAGCTCAGCCGGCCCATCCTTAAAGGCCGGGCCGGGCGGTTCAGCCTGTCTCTCTGCCCCCCAGCAGCAGCACCACCCCCAGCCTGAAACAAAAGAGAGAAGAGTGACTGTGGCGCTCCGTAGCCAGGTGTTCCCCACGCTGCAGCTGCCCTCCCAGCCTCCCTTTGTGTGGCTCTATTGTTGGCCGGCCCTCCCCTCCTTGATTCATCGGCCACACAGGGGAAACCCCCCTTTCAGGCTTGGGCCAGGAGTGTGTGTGTTGGAGAGTACGCGTGCCTTAGGGAAGCAGGCATCTGCCCAGCCCCACTCCCCTCCCCCTCCTCATGTCTCGGCGTAAACCTGCAGCTCTCTGATTGGTGAAGAAGCTCCCACTTCAAACCAGGCGACGGCGGGCATTGTTGCTCCATCTGTCCGGCCGCTCATTGTCCAACCGGCACTGCTGGAGGACGCCGTTCGTCTCGCTCCAGAAGGTGCTTGGATGGAGCAACTTTGGCTCCCGATTTGTGTCCGCTTCACCTGCAGCGTTTGCCCTCATCATCTGCTCAGCGAGGATTTAAATATGTGGGAATGAGACCGCCCAGGTCTGTCTGGCTCTGGTGAGTGATCTGAACCCTCCACCTTTCTGCTGACAATCACACAATTATTCTCCTCAACCGAACAGACCGCTGACATCGGAGACGTTTGCAACACAGTCAAGATATGTGCATGAGAGATTCAACCTTTTCTGATCTAATAGACCGGTCAGGAAAACAAATTTAAACCCGGATGATAACTTGTCCCAGAAGTTATTTCGATAAATAATGCTATTATGAGACCTTTTTCAGGTAATATTATGCAAGAACACAAAGGTGAAGACAGGTCAAGAAAGGCAGCACACAAAGAAATTAAAAAATTAAACATTTAAAATGATAAAATACAAACAATTTGACAATAATAGAAAAACTGTGGCATTTAAGATTTGTTGACAGGATGTGCACTGAAGCCTCTGACCGCCTGGCTTTAGGGTGAACCTGCTGGAAGATGTTTTCAAGTTTCCTCCAGTTTGTAGACTATTTTCCAGACAGAGAAAACGCCTGATTCATGTTTTTCCTCTCATAAGCTCAACGTCCGAGGTTCAAACATGAGAAACATCCTTCAAAATGCTGAGTCATCATATCCTAACCTAATCCTAATGCTGCTGTGTGACTTTAGCTATTTCAATTAGAAGTGTGTCCTGATTATTCCACTCAGGATTATTATTACTATTAACTCAGGATTGATGAAATGTGTTTGGGTGCAGATTATAATAGGTGTCTTGTATGTTTCACATGACAGAAAGCTGCAATGTTTTATCAAACGAGACAAGATCTAATAAGAGATCTAAACTTTAAGCTGCAAGTTTTCTGGTAGACTCAGATTGACCCCTCCCCCACATGTTGCTAAATTCCAAAGATCAGAAGCTGAAACAAGTACCTGCAGCTCAATTTGTATTTCTCAAGATTTCTTTTAATGAATTAGACTGAATAAAGTACACACACGCTCTGCTCCCCCCGTCCGATTTTTTCTACGCTAACTTTTGCACGGTGGCGGCTGGCCATGCAGCCATGCGCCGTCAAACGAAAAACCGCCTTTTTAAGCCATCCCTCCCCTCCCCTGCAGGCTCTCGCTGTAAGGAGTTTGTTACATATTCATCAGCGGCTCCATCACAGCCTGCAACGTTTGAAATTCGCCCGCCGGTTAAGAGAGGGGGCCTCGTTTCACGCTTCATGTTGCACTGAAAGCTGGACGACTTGAAAATCCGACACTGAAAAAATCCAAATAAGAAGCGTTATTGATGAATGTTGATGTTTTGGATTTTCTGGAACTGAGATTCATCAGTCTTTATTGTCCATTTTGCACCTTCAGTAGTTTGGATTTGATTTGTTGTGTGTGTGTGTGTGTGTCTTCATCCATGAACTCTGCTGATACAAAATTAGCAGCTCTCCTGTTTTGCGGCATATTTACTCAGTTTGCTTATCAGCAGCAGGATTGTTGATTCAACTGCTCGTATCCTCGGGTTCAGCTGATGTGATGCTTGTTGTTGGACCTGAGAGAAGAGCATCCTTCAAAATAAAATGTGGCCTCACTCTTTGTATGAGCATGAGTCACCTTGTGAGGTAGATCTTGTTCGTTTGCTCTGGGGCATCATCGCGCCCACACTGGTAAATGCCAAGGCCTCGATCCTAATCGCCGCTGCAGCTCTATTGTTGTCAGTGAGGCACACTTAAGCCCAGCTCGTCCCCCATATAGACTTTTTTTTTTTTTTTCTGCTCGGGTAGCCGGTGAACGCTGCTATCTTGGCATGCTTTCAGCAGCTGTAGCTTAGCAACAGTGCTCGGCAGCTCCTGTTTCATAAATGCTCTCCACCCCACCCTGCGCCCCCTCCTTCCCCGCAGCTCCGAGTCGCCTCCCCTCCCCTCGTCTGCTTTGTCCATATCATGTTTGACTCAGGAAAAATCCAGACTTCCGCCTCATCTGCACAAAACACTGGCATATTTTTTATTTTAGTTTAATTGCAAATATTTCCTTTGTAAGGTTTCTCCTAATCAGCCGTCTCTTTGTGCTCGTCGCTGGACATTCATACGTTTTCAGGCTTAAATGGACGTCAAGGAGAAAAATCGACTGTCTTTCATTCATTCTCAAACTTGTTTCCACTTGACTTCATTCTGTTGCGGCAGAATATCACCTCTGAGTGCTTTTCATCGAGTCAAAACTCTTAAATTACAACTTTAATGCTTATGAATATGCCAAAATATTACAATGTTCAGAAACAGGATTTTATCATGCAAGTTTCTTTAGAGTTGTTTTAGATGCTATTTGCTGCTCCGTAGCACTCTGTGTCACAGCGACTCTGATCCAAACACTGGTTTTGTATGACAGTTTGCATAATTATATGCAGGTAATTCAAATTATCTGCTGGAATCTTAAGTTATTCTCTTACTAATTATACACAGCAGTCTTTGCACATTTTGAGGAAAACCCAACATGTTTTCACACAATAGAAAAATTAAGTTGAGCCTCTTAAAATGTGTCAGCCTGACATGAAAGCAGATGAAAAATAATTTCCTCTTTCAGGAGGAACTTTTTCAGCAGCAGTTGCTGGAAAAGGTGAGACTTTTGAGCTAAAATGGCCAAATTGTTGCTTCTCTGAATAGCTTTGCCATTAAAGATAAATACAGTCAGGGAGTTTATTTTGAGGTGTTAATATGCAGGTTTTGCTAGATATTTGTAGCACCTCGGGGTGGGAGGGAACATATGGACCTTAATTATAAGGTGACTGAATGGGGTGGGGGGTTTAACGGCTGGATGTCTTGTTTTCAGATAAAGTGGTTCATCCCGCGTTGCTCTGTAGATTAATATGCTGTGGCACAGCGCTGTTTAAAACATACTGAGGTCAGCTTCTTGGGGGTTTGGGGGAGTCCATTAATTCATTAATTACAGTGAGGGGGCCCCTTTGCTTCTTTGTGTGCGGCACGCAGCCAGAACCAAAGATTAGATTACATTGTAAACGTACAGAAACATAAAGAGAATTTAGTAAGATTATTTTTCAAAAGCAGTTTCTGGCAGCTATATGTTGCAGGATAATATCATATGATAAGTAAAAGAATACTCCTTTAGCCTTCCAGCATTGTGCACATGTGGATGTAAACGATAGCATGCAGTATGTCTATGAATGCTAGAAAAATATTGCTTAAAATGATTAACTCCTCTTCGTCTCCCCCGTCAGGCTCAGATGAGTGGAGCTTTGTGAAGGAGCGCTGCTCGGCCCGGTGTGCTGGATGTCTGTGACGGATCCATGGGCCAGAAGGACCATGTGGAGGCGGGAGCAGTCCTCGACCTGGCGCCGGACCTGGAGTATCTCCACGTAGCAGGGGCCGACCGGCAGGCTGGCGGCCTTTACGGACCCCTTGCTATGGAGGAGCAGGCGGAGAGCTTCACCACCACCGCCGCTGCTGGTTCCCCTCCGGAGGAGAGCGGTGGGTCTGATGGCGAGTGCAAGGCGGCGCCGACAGCCACGGCAGACTCAGACGGAGGAGAAGTCAGCTACACTTCCAGTAAAAACACCCACCAGCCGCTGTGCCGCACACCATGTGTAGATCTGGGCACAGAGGGGCCTCCGGAGCCTCCGTCGGATCCCTCAGGAGAACCGGAGCAGGAACCGGCCGAGCCTCCAACCGAATCCCCCACACCGGCACCAGAGCCCAAGCTGGCGGGGAAGAACTATCAGGCGAAGCTGGAGTTCGCCTTGAAGCTGGGTTACTCTGAAGAGACTGTGCACCAGGTGCTGTCCAAGCTCGGACCCGACACCCTCATCAACGACATACTGGGCGAATTGGTCAAACTGGGCACCAAACCTGACAGCGAGCAGCCAGCGGGAATATTGACCTCTACCTCATCGTCTTCATCATCCTCTTCTTGCGGCTGCCCTGACGTGCTAGACGGGCAAAGATCGGACTCTCCACTGCCCCCGGAGTCTGTCTGTGACCAGGACAACCTGCGACCGATCGTGGTGGACGGCAGCAACGTGGCCATGAGGTGAGAAGGAACGCTGTGGCCAGGTGTGCCCAGTTAAATGTGGCCCAACAGACGTATAATACACTGGGAAAAACCCTGATTATTGTGAAGTTTGACTGAATGGAATCAGGATCAGGAAGCTTAAGTGAAACAGGCCACTATAGTCTAAGAACGCAAATGTAACATTTATAATACATATAAATACATATCTTTGTTATGCTCCCCAGTCATGGAAACAAGGAGGTTTTCTCCTGTCAGGGCATCCAGCTGGCTGTAGAGTGGTTTGTGGAGCGCGGCCATCAGGAAATCACGGTTTTTGTGCCTGCTTGGAGGAAAGAGCAGTCCCGCCCTGATGCTCCCATAACAGGTAAGTGAAAACAAAAATATTTTCTTAAAGCAGTGCAGTTCCTTCTCTCTGTTACGTCCGTCACCTGAATCTTTCCACTTTCTCAGATCAGGAGATCCTGCGGCGCCTCGAGAAAGAAAAAATCCTGGTCTTCACCCCCTCACGGCGTGTCCAAGGCCGGCGCGTGGTCTGTTATGACGATCGCTTCATCGTCAAGCTAGCTTATGAGTCAGATGGCATCATCGTCTCCAATGACAACTACAGAGACCTGGCTAATGAAAAGCCTGAGTGGAAGAAGTTCATAGACGAGCGGCTCCTCATGTATTCCTTTGTCAATGACAAGTAAGGATTTTTCTGCAAAAAATAGCGACATGTAGGTCTTTAGTTTCAGTTTAGAAAGTCATGAGCAAAGAGGAGGCGTGTCTTGCGCCTTAAATAAGAACCTCAGGTAGAAGAAGGACTACCAGCCTTTAAATGAATCCTTTGTTTCAGATTTATGCCTCCAGATGACCCTCTGGGACGTCACGGTCCCAGCCTGGACAACTTCTTGAGGAAAAGGCCAATCCTGCCTGAGCAGAAGAAACAACCCTGTCCATATGGTGAGAAAACAACAGGAAAAAGTATTTACTGTGTCCAAATACAATCCGCTTACAGCAGTGGTGTCTAAAGTTGGTCTTGAAGGACTGCTGTCCTCCATATTTAAGGTGTTTACCTGAACCAAATGAATGAGTTATTGGTTTGTTATTGTAGATTTATCTGCTGAAAACACACTGCTCCTCATTCCCTCTCTCCCCGACTCTTTGTTTTAGGAAAAAAGTGCACGTATGGTCAAGTGCAAGTACTACCACCCTGAGAGAGGAGCTCAGCCTCAGCGCGCCGTGGCCGATGAGTTGCGTGCCAGTGCCAAGAGCTGCGTCCCCTCCAAGAACCAGGGGATGCTGGACTGGTGAAGAGCCACAGTGTGCCAGCTGGCACCATCGAGGCAAAAAACGGTGCCCCAAAAAGGCAATCGGATCCCAGCATCCGAGCTCTGTCGTACAGTGACGCTGAGGAGAAGCTACTGGTGAAAAGCAGACTAGAAAGCCAGAAGAGCAACATAGGTGGGAGCAGCAGTAGCAGTTCTACTAGCAGCATCAGCTGTAGCGGAGGTTTAGCTGTGTCCTCAGCCCTGGCAGGACTGTCACCTGGCTTTAGTCTGTTGCAAGACCAACAGCCCAGATCAGGGACACATCTACCGGCCCCCAGCCATGATCTCTACCCTCACTGTGACTCCAGACTTAAGCTACTACTCTGTAAACGGGCCTACTCTGGCCTGAGCCTCTCCTCCCGGCGAAGCCCGGACTGCCGCTACCCCAACGATCCGGAGCTGCGGCACGGCTCCATGGGCTCCGCGGGTTCTGAATGTGGGAGTGAAAGCAGCATCAGTTGTGGTAGCAGTGACTCGTACAGTGACCGTTCCTGTCCTGGATGCCCCCCAGAATCTTTATTAGAAGAAAGCGTTCATTTCCCCAACCCCGCTGGCCGCCTGTACCCTCATCACATCACTTCTAACCACGAGCTGTGCAGTCTGCATGCGGCAGATTACCCAGCAATCCAACACAACCACACCTCTAATCCAGCTGTTCATCCCTACCATCTGAATGCTGCGTGTGGGCAGAGCTGTGTTCATGAGCAGCCTCCACCAGAGGGACCCCCTAAGCGACCCCTTTACCCTCTGCCTCCTCACCTCCAACACCAGCCGCTAGCTGCCCGCTCCAGCTGCCCTGGCGATTACCACTCTCTGCCTCAGTCCAACCGTCAAGCCCCTGGATCTCCCATTGGCCGCTGCCTGGCCCCCACTCGCAGCGAAAGCGTATCCGACTCGCATCTGTACGAGCATCTCTCTGCGTCTCACCACCACCATCGACCGAAAACGCTGCCCAGCTGGGAGACTTATTACAGACAGCCGTCACTCCCACCGTCGCGGTTCGAGCCGTCAGCCTACCAGAGTCTGCCAGATACGCATCAGTCATCCTGGCACCCTGCACCGTGGCCTCAAGAGGGCTACAGCTCGTCTCTCACCCAGCTCTGCACCCATCCCCGACACGTTACCTAGGCCACCCGCCGCCACCAGCCCTCTCTTCCCACCCTCCTTACCCCCGTCACAGCGCTCATCTCGCTCTTCCCTCACACCCTCCTCCTCCGTACGGGCCGCAGCACCCGGAGTCCCCCGTGCACAGCCGCTACGAAGACATGAGGGAGAAGGTGTACATTGACCTTTGCAACATCTTCCCTTCGGAGCTGGTGAGGCGTGTGATGGCGAGGAGCCTCCATGTCACAGACCCCCAGCAGCTGGCTGCTGCCATCTTGGCAGAGAAAGCTCAAAGTGGCTACTAAAGAATCCCCTCCCTAAGCAATGTAGGTGCAGTCTTAAAGGGGCAGTATTATATAATTTCAGGCATCTAGTAATTATAAAAATGCTCTATATGGGTGTCACAAATGACTTTAAAAAGTTTTAATTTAATCAAACATGCATGAAAGAATCAAATCAGCTCTCCAGGAATGTTTTTGATGAGGGAATAACATCATAACTTGACGTAAAGCTCCAAAGAGCATATTTTACAATAAGAAATACCTGGAAGATGCTGACATCAATTATTAAACAATACACAGATGTATTGTACTCTTGCGAACACAAAATACTGTTTTAATGTTTTTCTAGGATGCTAAAACACATTTCCAGCTTTATATCCAAAACTGCTGGCCTTTCCTACAGAGTATTCAGACTTTTCTTTTGTCTGTATTTAATTATGATGAAGTTAAGCTACAGGACACTTGGCTAACATTTGATAATTCAGTTACTTAACACTTTGTACTTCAAAGAACTTTTATATCATATACGCCTCATGTTGTCAATAAGAGTTAGCTTTGACTGGATAAGGCCGTTTAGAGAAACCTGCAGAAATGCAGTTATTTGGGTTAAAGTTCACATGTGCGGTGTGCTTGGAAATTAGTTTAAAAACACTTAAAAACGATGTATTTACAGATTAATGATCTTTATGCTACAGTTCATTCTCTGGTACTTTGTCTGTTTCCTGAATCAATCTTTTTGTGTGTGTGTGTTGTGTTGTTTGCTGGGGGTTTTATTCCATGATTGTTTAAAACAAAAAAAAGGGGTGTTCAAAATGTCGTCTTATTGAGACGGCAGTCTTTTTGGTCAGAGTTGTAAGCCGTAGAGATGGGTGACCCTGTCCTGTGTACCTTAGTTTTAGTAAGGACATCTCTCTCATTCTCTCTCTCTCTGTAAGACTTCTGGGTCAACTCTGGTTATCTGCTTCAGTTCAGGCTCATCGTCGACAGCAAGTGTAAATATATTTAACCGTTTCCTTCACTTTGCTTTCGGGGACAGTAAAGTCTGCTGTCGCCTGGAGCAGATCCCAGCTGAATTCACGCTAGATGGAGAAAAACCCTGTTTGATACAAATTGTATCATGAACTAAGTCGCTGACATTATATACAGTACAAGGACTTGTTGATGTAATGCGAAATGACAACCGTTCTGTTTTAATCGCAATTTTCCTACTTTTATTCTTAAAAATAGCTCTGCGACAATTCATTTCAATATATTTTTTTGAAACATAGTTGCAGACCTACTATGTCAAGGTATCAACTCCATTACTTGTTTTCTTTGGGTTTTGTTATTGGCTACGTTGGTAAAGATGTGTAAGTAGAAACCAATTTTACATTTACACAATCGCAATAAATGAGGAAAAAGTAAATTTTCACATATCTATTTGACATAGTGGGTCTTTATACACATCAATAGCAGGGTGGGCAATAACAGTGGAAGCTGCTGTAAATAACCATTAAAGGAACATTTAGTGAATGACAGCCTGATTTTACTGTAAGGTTGGGATCACTACGTTTTTAAATCTCCATTCTCCGTTTATTTGCGTTTTTATTTAAGTAACACAAGTTGTAATGGAAGAATGTAAAACAATTTCTCCCAAGTCATGAATTCAGTAGAGTTCATTCATGACTAACGTACAATTTAGATGCTATCCCTGTGGCCATTTTGAATTTCTCTAACGCCCAAATAGCATTATTTTCATCACACATACATACCCTATATTTATTTACAAACTTTATTTGGTTTGACCATTTATTTGGGGCATACAAGTTAATGATGTCGTTTTCTTAATCCCAATGGGACGCATGGTATTTATATATAGTCAAAATGATTTAAGTAAATTAATGAGCAGTTTTTAATATATTTGTGAAAATTGCTTATGAAAATACTATAAAGCATTGAGCATGGTTTTGATAAAATTTTATTCAGATTTGTTTCCACTCTGACAATGTTTTGCCATGTAATTGCAAAAAAGCACTTAGAAAAAAAAATACAGGAGATTATATGACTTGAAAACGCAAATCTTTTAAATTAGAAAAAATTCAAACCCCCATTTGAAGTTCAAAATGGCTACCAAGGAGGGTAGCTTGAGTGAGCCTTGTTATGAGCTTGCTTCATAGACCACGGTGACACATTGTACAAATATCTGTTTAACTGTACAATAATACTGAGAGAGAATTATTTGTGTTTATTGAAGAAGCGCCTTCCCTCCAGCTTCCTGGCACTGTGTGTCAGTGTGGCGACTGAGCGTGGGCCCAAAGTAATGCCTCTTCGTGGCATTGTGCTTATGACACATCCGATAATCTGAACTATGTTCAGCTAACTATTATGCATGAAGTTTTTTTTAATTCTTAGTTTTCTGCATGAGTTGTTTTTGTCTTGCCATGATGTTACTTAAATGTTTGTTTACTGGTAGATTTTCTGAGCAGCCACAACAAACCAGGATGCTTTAATTATGAAGGGGGCGTCACCTCCTCTCCTCTTCACTGCATCCTGTGGTAACATCTGACTTGTAAGTATTTTAAAATTGACTCGAAGGCTAAAAATCCAGTTTCACATTTGTTACATTTTCTCAATAAACTAACAGTGTAAAAACTTCAACTGTAATTGTGTTTGTTGAATAAAGGCAACATGTCTCAGAAAATGTTTTCTGTCATTTACACCGTAAAACCTGCAGATGCCACTAGAGAGCCATAAACAAACTATCGGCTTGATTTTTCCACAATTCTGAGAATAAAAGTGTCATACTTAAAGTTTGACAACTAATATTTTCGACCATTTTAAAAGATAAAAATACAATTTAACCATATAAAAAAAACAACAGAAATGTTTTATAGTTATTAGAATAGAAATATGAGGATTAAGTCCGGGAATATCGTTGGTGTTTTTTTAGCAAAATCCCCCACACTTTGAGCGTGGACTCATATTTCCAGAGGGGGGCGCTCAACTCAGTTCAGGCCTACTCTTAAATGCAAAAAATTAAACATAATTATTGTCCTTCCTAAAAATACTTTATGTGTTAATTTCTGGGGAAGCTATCAACGCACTTTTGCGCTAGTTAAATCCACCCTCCATGTATTTAACCGCAAGTATCATATCAGATGTTGCATCCCTCCCTTGCCTGACAGCCATATTGAACATCCCAATAGATAAAAGTTTTGTAAGAGCCCAAGACTTGGTCGGAAATGTTGGAATTGTCCTTCAAAATAAAGAGAATTTACAAAGTAGCATGTTTCAACTTCCAATTTGAGCTCAGAACATTAGTATTCAGCTTTGATGTGGCATTCCTGTTTACTATATGAAAAATCATATTCATATTCATGGTGAAAACCTTTAGAACCCGAAATGTTTAAAGGTATCCTGCTTCCCTCTTCAGATCTTTCCGAATTAGGCTTTTATTTTGTAAGTTTTAACCGGAACCTGTGGTATTTCATCCCGTGAACATTGACGCGGACGCCCCAAATCGCCTTACGGTTGTTTAGACTTAAACGCTTTTCTCATGTCTGTAGGTGATTGAGTGTGAGAGACTTAATAGCAGGAACTAACAGCTCAGTTACAGCTCAGTTTGTTCCATTGAATTTTGAGGTAGACACGTCGAGCCCCGGTGAGTTTTCCTTTCTCTTAAAAAAAAAAAAAGATGAGCTTCTCTCCAACTTTGATGCGCGACTAGCGGATGTCCTCGTGCTCGTGCCGTTGGCGTCTCAAACGTACATTTAAACCCGCCTGTCTGCATTAAACCGAACAAACTCTCAGAAAACACGGTTTTATTAGCCCCTTTTCAACGACTTTCTGAAATATGTCGGTAAATTTAGTTAATTACCAACAAGCGAAACTTCACAGTCTCGGCTAGGCTCGTCCCGTTATGCGGACTACACCCACTAGCATGAAAATGTCAGACTGTATATTTACACCGACAGCAGTTGCCGTGCAGTACTTAGAAACCCAAAAAGAATATGCTGTTTTTTGTTGTTGTTTCTCTCAAACATTGAAGCTATTCTTGGCGTCAGTCTGATGTTAGTGGAGCAACAGTTTGTCTCGCCGCTGTTTGATGAAGTTGTGGTTAAATTTCGGTTTAAACGGAAGCCAAATCGGCGGGTAAAGAGTTGAGCTAGCTGATCAAACGGGACGAGTTAGCCTTCAAACGCCCCACTTGATAAAAATCCGCGTCTTTTCAATCAATTGGATGATATTTCAATTTTTATTAAGTTATCGGACATGTGTGTTTGACACTTTTATGGTAAAATTATAACGTTAAACTGTCTAAAATAAAGTGCAAGTCCAAGAAGTATCTTAAAGAGAAATGTTTTAAATTGTACCATCTAAATTTCTGATGCTGTCTGGTAGCAGTCAGTCTTGCAACCATTTGGAAGAAACTTCTGACTGAAGACTGTAGCTGTACTTGACTATCCTGACATGCTAGCAGCTCAATATCTATGCAGCTGAGACTGTATTCCTGGATGACGCTATCAGTTGTTGCCAAGCTCTGCTAATCCACCTCATTGTCTTTTGCCTCTTTAAATCTCAGTCTGGCTGAATGCTTAGAAAGCTCTTCTAAAACCAAGGAGCAACGAATGGTTAGAGATGCAAATAAGACTGGGGAGGAAAACGCCAACCTTCAACTTCCAGACACAGCTACAGTCTGATTCAATCAAAGCTTGCTCTTGTGTTAAAATTATGTATTTAATTTACAAATCCAAGTCCAACTGAGAATATGTGCTAAAGCTGCTCTTTATATAATCTATTTTATGAAGAGGAAAGGGCAGAAATGTTAGTAAATGTGCAAAGACACACCCCAAAAGGAGGAGGAGGGGACAGAATACAAATGCTTACAGTGCTTTTTTTTATATTTTTTAGGTTTTTGATGTAGAATTTATCATATAAATGACTGTATTACTCCCCCTAAATAATGTAATTTAGTTGTCTCCTAACTATTTCCATTTCCACTTATGTACCTTTAAGCAAACATGGTGGGATTCACTGCACAAGCACCTCTTTGTTTTGTGTTGCCATCGAAAGAGATGGGAAAGTATTTGTTTTCGTCCTTTTCCCTCCTGTCTTCAAATAAAGTTCCTCTTGTTTTATTTGCAACTTTCAATACTTTTATCGAGACTTAGCTGAGCGAGTCTCAACTCTGACGTGAAAATTGAATGTATTGACTCTTCCTGAACTCATCCATTGCCAGATCACCTGTTTAAAAAACTAATGTTCTTTTAATTTCAGGTCTCATTTCCGTCCACTGACGGATTTATCCTCTCAGCTGTCAGGCGAAAGGTGGAGAGGACGCAAACATGCCTAACCGGTAAGATGGAGGAATTTCTACTTCATTCCTGCATGTGTTAGTTATGCAAATAGTCTCTTGTTGTGTTCAAAATCAATTTACTTAAAGATGAATGTGAAGCGTCTTGAAAGTGGTACCTTCACTGTCTTGCTTCCTTCCACTCCTCATGCACTTCTTCCAAATAAACAACAGCCATACTGTCTTGCAGAGTGCCAAGCCCACTGGCCGGCAGCAACAACACTGCAGCCATTGTTGTTGAAAAGGGTAAAAAGAGAATGTCTCAGTCCAAGGATGTGAACAGCGCCAAAACAAAACCAATTTGATGCAGTCTTGTCATGGGTGTCTGCTTTCCACAGTCGAGCCTCTTATCCAAATTAGACTTGGGAATCCTAATTCTCACACGCTTTTGGTGCTTATATTTTATGAGTTATTCCACATTAATCTGATTCATAAGCAAGGTTCTTTCTTACTGTTTGTAATTAGGAAGCTGCAAAAGAACTGGTTGAATTTTAAGCGTGCTGTAAGTGAGGCACCTCCCTGTTCTTGGATGGTAGGAGGTGGCTTGGGCTTTAGGAAGATTTAAAGAGGAACAGACAAGCACTGATTTCCTCCTTCACTTCCTCTTCTCATCGTACAGTAAACAAGCCGCCGCTCTGCTAGATCAATGCCTGGTCAAAGAGAAAAATATGGTAGCTTTGTACAGGCAGAAAGGAAGTTCATGGTCTGTCTGTATTTTCTAAAGTGCCTCTCATATCTGGATGTGAAACTAATTGTTTGAGAATGCATCAATCAATCAGGCAATTTTTTGTATGAAATCATATTTTTGTTTTTTCAATTGAATACATCAGAAGTACAGTTTTGCACTTTTTTTTAGCTTAATAAAAATTTTAAATGTATGAGGGAATGTTTTTTAATGCAAAAATCTTGTAATTCCCCTTTTAAACATCCTCTATCAAACTGCCGTTCTTCTTTATTCAGTATAGTCTGTAGAAGAACGAGAGGCAAAAAAAGGGAAGTGGCTGGTCAGACTTAATCAAAAGTAAGAAATTCAGATCGAAGTAAAGTTTGAGTTTCTGTTTTTGAGTTATGGAAGTTTGGAAATTTAGGAAACTTCACCATAAACCTGTGAACCTTCAGAGGCAAAGCTCATGTTTCCATAGGGGTGTTCTAGATTAACCCAGTCAATCAAAAAGAACAGACATGTTTATTGTAGCTAGACTAGGTTGGGGAGGATCATAATGAAAACTTTTTCTGATTTATGCATTTAACTAAAAAGCAGGAGAAATAAAAACAGATTTATCAGACTTTAACAGGAGAATCACCAAACTGATTGATTCCAATATATCAAGTATATTGATTGGTCCATCTCTTGTCTTTGGTTTCCGCTTTAAACAAATATTTCAGTTGTTCATTTGTATTTGTGTTAACATTTTACTCCCTCGGCTTGGAAACCGTTCCGTGAAGAAGACTTTCTGATTACTTGCTTGAGGCTATTTTTCTGTTTGCCGAAGAGAGAAAGACAGAGTGTGTGTGTGTGAGAGAGAGAGAGAGAGGGGTTCTGTGTACTTTTTGGGGCCCAGTTTAAGTCAACATCCTGGTTCTGTGGAAGTAAAAGAGCAGCTTGCAGACAGAAGATCACCAGGCAACTGAGCGGTTGTTGAAGAAGGATGAGCTTCACGACGTAAAGATCCCATCAAGTTTTTCAGAACGTATCTGTAAAATGACGACCCCCGCTTTCAGATGAACAGTTTCTGGCCTTTCTGGCCTCGCCTCCCTGTGTGGGAGGATTCCCTCGGTGTGCTGGGAGGTTAATCAGAGAGACAGACAGTTGCTCTGAGCCTGGCAGCTCAGATTAGCAGCTCTGTACTGACTGCAGTCGGTGTGTGTTTGCTTTAAGACGGCTCTCAGCAAACCCTTTGTCAACAGCTCACGGTGACTAAACCGCTGCACGTTTAACAATGGACACATCAGAGTGAGGACTGAGCTTTGCTGCTGAAAGGGAGAGCGAGAATCTCATATTGATGATGCTGCACAAATCTTTAAAGAAGGCTAAAGTTGAGCAAGATTAACATTGCGGAAGAGGACGTGTAGAATTTTTTTTTATTTTTTATTTTTTTAAGACAAAAGAAGTAAATAAAGCTGGGTAGAAGTTCTTTGAATGGCTGAGGATTTACCCAACAGGGTGAAGACACTTAATGCTTTTGTCACATTTTTTCCTGTTGTCCATATGTCTGAGGTGGTCATCTGCTGTTCCTAAACAATGTGCCAGTCTCTTTACATGTGTTTTCTATTTTTACTGCATGTGTTTTTATCAGTAGAGACA